ACGTTGTGGGCTCTAGTAGAAACTCTGCCAAATGTAAAAGAATATTCTGTCTTTAATAAAAGTAAATTACAAATCAATGACAGAAAGATGTGGGAAATACTCAAGTAGTAAGAAATTAAACGGCACACATCTAAGTAACCCAAAGAGGAAGTTTCCGAGGAAGTTAGAAAATATTTTCCATTTAAAAAGAAAACAGAACAGCGGTCGGTTTTGGGTGAAGCGGTTGGTTTGGGGTGAAGTGTGGGACAAGGGCCTGACTACACAGAGTAGCACACGAGGATTTTAAGGGAAAGATAATGGAATTTTTCTGTGTCTCGATGATTATGGTGGTTGTTAGATAACTGTATTTATCAAAACCCAGAACTGTTAACCAAAGAAAAATTTACTGTGTGTAGAAAAAAATACACTTAAAAATATTTAAGTGTCTTTAAATGGAATACAGTTTTCTCTTGGAAATGATGTGTTTGGATGAGCTACTTGTCACAAGGCTAGTGAGTAATAAAAGAAGGAAGTGTCAGTATTTTTTAGTCAGATATTGGTATGATTCACATATAATCACTTATCTGGTTTGGATCTTCATAGGAATAATAATATCTCTACATAGAAATTTTGATTTAAAAATCAGGGCTGATGTGGAAGAACATAGAGTGCAAAATTAACATGATCTATGTCATTTTAGATTCAAATGCAAGTGCACTTTTTGAAGAAAATTATGCTCATTGAAAAATATCTATTGTTTAACATTAGTTGAGTTGAAAAAAGTGAATTTTGCAAACAATACCTGTCAATTAATGAAAATGTTATAGGAAATGAAGACAAAGGAAAAAAAGTCTGGATATATACTTTCGGATACGAATGAATTGTTCTATCAGCGGGGTGCTAGTTCCAGTCTCATAAAGGTTAAACAGAGGTTTTTCAAAGTTTCCCATATCAAAAGAAAGACATTTGCACCATGGGAGAAAAGAATAAGGTGGTAACAGTTTTGGAATAAAGTCTTCAGATGTTTAATTTCTTTGACTAATGTTTGTAGTTTTCAGAGTATACATTTAATACTTCTTTTAAGTTTACTTCTAAGTATTTTAATTTTGGTGTTATTGTAAATGGAATTTTTGCTTAATTTCATTTTTTCATTTTGCATTGCCACTGTAGAGAAATGCAGTTGACATTTGTGTATGGGTCTTATATCTTGCAATGGTCTTACTAGCTCATTAATTTTAATAGTTTTTTAGTGGACTACTTAGGGTTAATTTTCTTTTTTAACATATAAGAGCATGTTGGCAAATAGAAGTAGATTTACTTCTTGCTTTCTGATCTGGAGACCTCTTCTTTCATTTTGTACCCTAATTGCCCTGGCCAGAACCTCAGTACAGTATTGAACAAAGTGGGGAGAGCAAGCATTTTTGTCTTGTTCCCAATACTGGGGTCAGAGCAGCTAGTCTTTCCTTTTAAATGTATTTTATTGTTTATGCTATTACAGTTGTCCCACTCCCCCACTTTATTCCTCTCTGCCCTGCACACCCCCTCCCACCATATCCCACACCCCCCATCCTTATTCATGTGCATGGTCATACATATAAATTCTTTGGTTTCTCCATTTCCTATACTATTCTTAACCTGCCCCTGTCTATTTTGTACCCAGTCTTTTCTCATTAATTACAATTTAGCTATGGAGTTTTTGTAGATGTGTTTATCAGATTGAAGTTCCCTCTATTCCAAGCAGCGAGTAAGTTTGAGCTTCCTCTCCCACTTGTCCTACTCAGGCCCATGTAGACTGGATGGTGCCCACCTGCACGGGAGGGGCCATCTTCTTCACTCAGCGCACTGGTTCACATGCTGATCTCTCCCTGGGACCCCCTCACAGACACACCTACAAATGATGTTTTACCAGCTCTAAGGTCATCAGCTAGCACCATCCATTGGGTACATAAAAGAAACGATCATATACCAACCAAGGCAACTGCAGCTTAAAGCAAGGCAAGGATTAGTGGTCTCTTCATCATCCATGCCTCTTTTCCCCTACAATTCATCCTTCCTGAGCTGTAGCTGAGCTGCTCAGGACTGGACATCATGAAAGAGCAGTGTGTCCCAATACCACAGGGGACTCTTCATTGCTCTGCTTTAAATGACACGTGTATGTAATGAGAATGAGACTTCTCTGGTCTCTTCACATGCCTGCTGAAATTCCAGGGACTTCATGCTCTAAAGAACAGTGTTTCTTGGTCATAGTTTTTGTAGTTACAGTCTACAGAAAACAATAATTGAACTTCCCCTAGCATAACTGTAACTTCTAGATAAATACCGAACCTGTTACCGAAGTTTTGGTTTCAGTCACTGTAATTGTTTACCAGCTATTTTCAGAACTTTCTGCAGCTGGGCTTTATGTGTGTGTATCTATGTGTGTGTGTGGGGGGGGGTGTTTTTCAGATTACTGTAAAATAAACCTAGTTTAGTATTTTTAAAAACTTTTACACTTTTTTTCACATTTTAATAACTCTGAAATCAGGAAGCATCTTAGCATCAATGCCATATCATGTCTTAATAAGCAAGGGTTTTTTCTTTCCTGTGACACATAAAATAATGATATATCTTAAAATTGATGGTGTGTGGTGGTTAAGTTTATATGTCAACCCGCCCGGGCCAGGGGGTGCCTAGATCCTTGGTCAGACCTCATTCTGGGTGTTGTCCGTGAGGGTAGCATTCAGATTGGTAGATCCGGTGAAGTAGAGTGCTTTTGCTAACATGAGTGGGTGTCATTCAAAGACAACAGAAAGGCTCAGAGGGAAAGCTTGATCTGAGGCATTAGTTTTTTCCAGCTTTCTGACTTGGACTGAAACCTTGGTTCTTCTTGGAGCTCAAGCCTGCTTGCTGTCCTTTAGAGGAACTACAGATCGGCTCTCCCGAGGCCCTGGCTTGCCGACTGCGGATCTTGGGATTTCTCTCAGTCTCCACCATTACATAAGTGTGTATATATGGAGAGACAGAGAGATACATACACATGCCACTGGTTCTCTTCCTCTGGAGAACCCTAATACGGATGGGGTTCTAAATCTGATAAAATGTTGTAATTGTGGGTATCCTCAGTTCTTTCTGCTCAGAAGTCATGGTGGTTCTGGGGAGTGTTCACACCAAATAGAGTCGCAGGAGTTGATCTTGAAGTGAGAAGATGCTACTCTTCTGTACCAGGGTAGCTTTCTAAAATATCGCCAATAAAGTCTAATTCCAGGAGTGCTGATTCTCTGCTCAACAAGACGTAGTCTGATGATCAGTGTGGTTTCCTGGGTTATAATGTTTGAGCAAAGAACAGTGGCCTTCAAGTTCTAGTTTCCATAGAATTTGTGGCTAGGGTCAGGAAGCATCACATTCTGAAATAAAAATTAATGGATTGATCTCCAGAGGTTTGCCAGCCAATAATTGACTTGTGTTGAGATAAGGCTACGGGGCTCCTTACACTCAGTAAAGGGTCTAGGCACCTCCCTGGGAAGGAAGTCCTCAGTAGAAAGAGGCAACAAGACCAGCATAAGCTTAGTGTAGGGAAGGTTACTTACCTTCTGTGAGAAAGGCTTCTATGGCAGACGATTTTGGTGACTGCTGTGAATCACTAGAGGGTAAATGTTGAGAACTAGTACTTACCCTGTTCCGTTTATGGAAGTGAGAGACGTGGTAACCTGGCAGGCCTGAGTATTCTCGTTCCTAAAAAAGCAGATGGAAGGAGATTTGACGTTGGGTGGTGAACACACAATATAATGTACAGATGAGGTACTGAAGAATTGTGCACTTGAAACCTATGTGATTTTATTAATCAATGTCACCCCAATAAATTTAACTTAAAAATAAATTTAAAAAAGAAAAGCAGACCCTGATGAAGTAAATGACTGCCACATCACACCTGTCACCCACCCTCTGTGTTGAGTTTAGATTCAGTGTTGACCAATTAGCCTCCTGACTGCATGTGCCCTTTACCGTGATCCGAGGCTGGGGAGCTTCAGGGAGTGCACCAATCTGGTATCACACAATAAACTGACACCATGGGTATCTCAGCCACCTGGTCTGAGTGAATCAGTCCCCAAGGGCCCATCATCACATGCCTGTACCTGAGCAGCCCCTGGGGCTCCACTCAAATCGCCTGCCACCTTCTCTGTGCTGCCCTCACCACAGAGCAGTCCCATGAGAGCCATGTGTCCCTCAAGGGCAATGGCATTCCAGAGAATGAAAATAATAAACCTGACAGAGGAGACGGACAAAGCTGATTCAGGGATGGGCAGGGATAGACATTTAGGACGGAGAAGATCGGCTGGAGCAGAAGCCCAGAAGCAGGAATACAGCGCGTGGGTTTGGTTTGACGGGAACACAGGTTGTGTGAGAGGACTCAGTAAGGTTTGCATTATGACCAGGCATGGTTGGTACCCGGAAATTCTCCAGAGTAAAAGTAGCTGAGCCCTAGAATGTTTTAAAGTCACTCCATTTCAGTGGATCCATACCAGACAGTGAGCCAAAGTTATCCTTTCCTGGTGGTCATACGGCCTACACAGGCTTTGGTAGCAGTCTGTGGTGTTGAAAGGTCCATATAGTCTTTTGCCTCATTTCTAAGTCTGGGATAGTTTTCTTAACCAGAGGGGAAGAGAGCATGTGTGTGATAACAATAATGTTCAGGAAACACTTGAAAACCATAGATTGCTGTGCTATATTTTAGGGGGGGAGGGAATCAAAACCATCAGTAATCCTATTACCTGGAGAATCATCACAATATTTGCTGCTGACCCTTCCAGGCTTTTTCTGTACATTACCTGACCAAAAACTATATGCCTCTGTGGTGTTTTTAATTTTGAAAAAATGGGATCAAACAACCAGGTGTTTCCTAACCTGCTTCTTTCCCTTAGTTTCCCCTGGAATATGTATTTCTTGGCGCTGGGCCCCAGCCTTTGTTAGGTCCTGGTCCTGTGTCCTGGGAAGCACCCGGAGCACGGGCAGTTGCTGAGACCATGCTCTTCTTCTGTTTGCAGGCTGGCAGCCTCGATGGTTCCTTCTCTGTGGAGGGATATTGTCCTACTACGATTCTCCCGAAGACGCCTGGAAAGGCTGCAAAGGGAGCATCCAAATGGCCGTGTGCGAAATTCAAGGTGAGAAGCCAAGGGAGCTGTGGGTTTTACCTTTCCTCCTTTTCTCACCAAAATAAAAAAAGCTTTGGTCTCTGCGTGCCTTTTGCATGTACTACATGCCTCTCCTGTAGTACAGAAAAAAATGTGTAGCATCATGTCCCAAAAGAAAACTCTGCGATAAGGCCCAAAACTGCAGCCAGCTTGTACCAGGCTGATGGTTAAGAGGGAATCAAATGAGAGCAACGAGCCTCACCACACGCGAGCGCTCATTCCCGAGCCGCCTGCCCACCTGGGGCCAGGGGCTGTTGGCAAAGCTTATTTAAATCTTTTTACTGCAGCATCGGACACTTCCGTGTTTAATTCGAGACACACACACTCCTCGCCACCACCACATACTCAAAACAAAACAAGCAAACCCCTAGCAGACCTCCAAATAGCCTTCCTTCCTGGTTTTGGGAATCGTGAGACACACTGAGATGTGGTTCAGAAGCGGATTAGAAGGGAGTTTGGGGCTTGGAGGCCAGCGGGTGGTGGGTAAAGGGGGTGCAGCTTGCTCATTTCTTCTTCTGAGGGCTCTGAGGGAATTCTCACGCCTTCACTCTGACTTGTGAAGGGAAGTAGAGAAGGAAAAACTTCATGTTCTCGATTGCTTTCCAGTAAAAACCCAAGGAGATAAAGAGCACCCTCCTACTGGTTGGCACGCAGGCCGTTTTAACCTCAGAGCAGCTGACTTTACACACACAAGCCGACAGAGCAACTCCTTCCCTATTCTGATAAAAGCCCCAAAGAAGAATTGGATAATTTTTTTTTTAGGCCAAAGTCTGGGTGTGACACCTGAGAGCCAGGGGCAGGTTTTCCATCACTGTCAGCGGAGGGATCGGGATGAGGCGAATAAGCTGGGACAGGTAGTGAGGCATCAGTGACTGGCACCAGCTGAGCTCAGGAATCTGGGCGGGGTGGCGGCTACCCAGGGTGGGCTCCTCCAGGTCTCTGACCTCGCTCTGCCTTGCTCCCAGTTCATTCTGTAGATAACACACGCATGGACCTGATCATCCCTGGGGAGCAGTATTTCTACCTGAAAGCCAGAAGTGTGGCAGAGAGACAGCGGTGGCTGGTAGCCCTGGGGTCAGCCAAGGCTTGCCTGACAGACAGTAGGACCCAGAAGGAAAAAGGCAAGTAGCAATTGTCCTCTGGTCTGAGGACCTTGGGAATCACCCACTGTCATCTCTGGGTCCCGAATTTACTATCTGGCTTCTGACCAGCTAGCCAGCTTGTGGTATCATGCAGGTGATACAAAATACAGTAGAATTTAAACCATGGTTTTTATCTCAGTCTTAGTACATCAAAGTAGCGTTGGATTCAAGTCAAGGTTCCTGGCCTTCTGACCTCAGCACGGGTCACTTAATCTTTCTGATCCTCATTTCCGTAATATTGTAAAAAGGGGCAGTGACCTACATTAGGAGGATTACTACATACATTAGTGATCACAGGGGGCCCTGTTGGACCCAGCCTGGCAGACTCACCTTTGATGAAGAGCAGCTGAGCCAGCAAAGCCTGGGATCAGGGAGCTTTCTGCAGTAACCCCCACTTTTCCTCCCTTTCCCTGGGGCAGGATGGGGCTTAATTGTCAGGTTGCTGCTGCTTAATGCTCATGACCTCGAACATCCGTAGGTCTGAGAAGCTCGGCACAGCCGTCTGTCTGGACCGGGGCACAGGTGTGAGGGCTTACTGCCTGAGCCCTAGGCACCACCTTGCCAGCTGAATAGCTCCGTGTATACACCTGAAGATATCAGGGAGTGAGGAGGGCCTCTGGGAAAAAGTGTTTCAGGACACCTTTCTCATGACAGGTGTGGCAGATGTGCCTACGTCTTCAGGTACAGGCAGTGAAGTGGCCTCTTTGTAGGTGGTTTGAATGCTACATTGGGACTAAACTCTAGGCACCGTCAGCTTTGACTCAGATGCGGTGGTTACGTGCAGCATTTTTATGGACAAGGAAACAGGTGGTAATGATGGCCACTGAGCCCTCAGAGCCAGGGTGGCTGGAGTGCCGAGCTAATAAGGGAGCAGTAGGTGCGCAGAGGGCGCTCTCACTCCTGACAGGTGACATGCTGGCCTGGTCCTCGGAGTTAGTGAGCCACCTCATGAGTGGTAATTGCACGTTGCAGAACACTGTTTCCCAGTTTCAGTCACTGTTTCCCAGTTTCAGTCACCGTGCTGGCAGGGATAGCCATGACCCCATGTTACACATGGAGACAACTGGGGTGAAAGTGAGACTAAAGCTCTGAACCCTGGACTCTGCTCCCAGTTGTAAAAGGCGGAACATTTATGTAATTGGAAGGGAAACCAGAGTGTCTGCTCCCAGCCATGACACGTGGATCAGAAGTACGCTGTCTCCTCCTCTCTGTACTGCTAATCAGGCCATTGTTGGCTCAAGAACTAACGTGGACGACTTGGACAGACTGGAGGCCTCCCTTTCTGTTCCTCTTGCTCTGTATCTTCACTGACACCCTGTCTGTACCCACACTATATGCATCCGACTCAGGCCTAGGCTACGTATCCTACTCTCTGTATGGTGCTCTAACGAGTAAATGATTTATTCATCTTGGTAATGACATACATCATCATCATGTTGTTATTTAGAGTTTGCTGAAAACACTGAAAACTTGAAAACCAAAATGTCGGAACTAAGACTCTACTGTGACCTCCTTGTCCAGCAAGTGGAGAAAACAAAAGAAGTGACCACAGCGGGTGTGTCCAATTCCGAGGTAAAATATTGTTTCTCTCACCCATGTGGGAAGTGGTGCCAGATGTTGAGTATGGGTGATGCTTACTGTCACGATCCCTGACTATCTTGGATTTTACTGTTTTTCAGAGAAAAAACAGTAAAATTTAACAAAGAATAAATGTGTGCATTTCAGCCTATGGAAGCATGTAACTTTCTAGAATGAATCCAGGATTGATTAATTGCCAACGTTTGGGACCTTTACACTCAGCACTGATGTCCTCAAATACATCACTGCCAGCTCACACTGCTCTTTAAACAGCACCTCCTGGCACCTGCCTAGCAGAGCTCCTTCCATAGGTGTGGCCACTCATGTATCCCCCTCGTGTCTATCAGTGCGAATCTGTCACCTTCAATGACACTGGTGACTGTTGTGCTTTAAGATAGACTAGTGCTTTCAAAGACAGAGACAAGCTTTTGTTCGCTCTTCAGCAGCAAGGGTTGCGACTTTTTGCATATATTAATAAAGTGGCCATTCACCCACCTAAAATAAATGTTAAAAGGTCTGACTCACTGGCATTAAGCTCTGGACCGAACGACTCCCACTCACCAGAACGGGTCTCTCCCTCTCTGCTCTCAGGGAGGTTAGAACCCAAACCAAGGCCCGCCAAACGAAGGCTCTGTAGGTTGTAGCTGGTGGTTTTGTTAGGTAGTTCTCCAACAGTGTGCTACTAGGAGTGTGTGTGTGTGCTGGCCGTTTTTCCAGTAAGGGTGATCAGACTCACTTTCACTCACTTCCTTCTGGGCTCTCATTCATCCAGCAGTTGCCAATCATGTACAAGATCCTCTGTTGGGGTAAGGAAGGGGAGGGGCACCACAAACATTTCAGTCCTGTCCTTGGGGCATTTATAGTCTGGAACAGTGATTTTCAACCTTTTTCATCTCACGGTGCACATAAATTTATTACTAAAATTCCTCGGCACACACATAAATATATATTTTGCTGATCTGATAAAAAAAAAGGTATGATTTTGATTCATTCACACTGGACAACTATTGTTGTGTTGGCTTCTGTCATTTTTTTTTTAAATTTGACAGTCTAAGGCAAAAGAGTTTGTGCCCCTGACTAAATAGTCAGATGTCTTATGTTTTAAAAATTCATGCAACATCCTGGTTGAAAATCGCTGGTCTAGAGCAATTAATCATTAGCAATTAATTAATCCTGGATTCATTTTAGAGAGTTATATGCTTCCATGGGCTGAAGTGCACACATTTATTCTCTTTGTTGAAGCAGTTTTGCCCCTGAGGAGACATCTGGCAATGTTGGGAGATGTTGTTCTGGGAGAGTCCAGCATAGAGACTTAGAAGTTTCTGGTGACTTGAGGGGTAGCATGAGCAACTCCATCTTGGGCTCAGTCTGGTGGCTTTAACGCTGCCAGGATTCAGTCACTCCACTAGTCGGGTGTGACCTCAGTTTTCTGAGCAACACATTCATATCAATATCCAGAAGAATACACTGAACAAGTAAAATTACTTAGAGAAAAAATGGATTAGATAGTCAAAACAATTCCAGTTGCTGAAATCTCTTAGACTCATCTGAACAGAAAGCCCATTTTGAAAGTAAACATTGAATGATTCCTGGTTTCTGATGCTTCTGTTTTAGAACCTCATTTTCACTGGGGCAGTGGGAGACGTTTGTCCGTGGAGCCCACTGGTCTTCAGTCTCTGATTCCCTCTCTCACGTCTGCCACCCTGTAGATTGCAAATTCGTGAGGGCCCCGTGCCCAGCCCCTGTGCGGGCACATAGTATTGTCACCTTCGGCTGGCATGCTGGGTGAGTGTGAAGGGTGGGACTGAGGGCGAGGCTCGTGTGTGGTTCATAGATAAAGTGGACTCACCCAGGCCCTTTCTTTTATAACTGATGCACATATTTGTCCTGCAAAATAGGTGGGAACATTATTATGATGATGCTGTGGATAAAAACCTCTAAGAACATTCCACCATTGGGCTTTTTCTTTTTTGGCAAGGTAAAGGAGTCTCCCATCTGGTTGTTTCTTAGGAGGGAATTGATGTGGGAACACTGCTGAAATCAACGTGCAATACTTTTCTGAAGACCTTGGAAGAATGCATGCAGATTGCGAACGCAGCCTTCACCTCCGAGCTGCTCTATCGCACTCCACCAGGGTCCCCGCAGCTGGCCATGCTCAAGTCCAGCAAGGTGAGAGCCCTGCACACCTGGCCCACAGCGGGGTGAATGAAAAGTGGAAATGCTGACGAGCGACATACTGAGTTGCGTTCCCTTTGGTGACTGATGAGGTCTTTTTTAGTAGGCTTTTTTATACCCACTTTTATCTCCGCCATCAGTCCCCCCATCCAGTCAGTTCCTTTTGGCAGTTTTACCTCCTAAACCCATCTATGTAGCTAGCCTCTTCTCTCCAGCCCCTTGACCAATGAGTCTCTCTGAGAGTGTGGTAGCCTTCTAACCAGTCACCTTCAGCCGGACCCTTGCAAGCAGCTGGACAGTATTCCCACTCGCAGTGTACATTGGAGCCCTCTGCTAGACCTTTCCCAGGCTCCCTCATTGCCCCTCCCACATCCCCAGCTGTCTCTTTTGCTCTCAGTATCTGGCTTCAAGGTGTTAACTGCTTGTAGGCCTCCACATCTGGGTGCCATTTCCCAGGGCCGAGAATGCCCTCTGCCCTCTCTTCCCCTGGTCAGCGCTTATTCATTCCTCATTATTTGATCTCTTCTTCCCCGAATCCCTAAGTTGGGCTGAGGACTCCTCTTCTCTGCACACCTTTATTTCAATCTTACTCTACAGTGAAATTACCTGAAGGGCAGCAACCCCGTACTGTTTACCTTTAAACTTCCAGTGTTTGATATGGGACTGCATCATACCTTCGTATTTATTGATGTTTAATGAGCATAACTGAAATTATAAGGGAGTGAAGGCTCTGATAATTAGGTCCTTCAAAGACCACCTTTTTTGCTTAGAAATTTAGATACCCTCACTTGAATAAATATGAAGGGCTGCTTGGGAAGAATGACTGACTGACTCCCTTCCTTTGGGAGGACCTAAAGTTGTTCCAAACTGGAGTGCTGTGTGTCATGGTCATATTTATTTATCAGTTTCATGTGCGGTCAGATTAAATGTGCGCTGTTGGAAGTGTAACATGTATATTTCACTTCTGTGCTTCTTTTAGGTGAAGCATCCTATCGTACCGATTCATAATTCATTGGAAAGGTACAGTACCATCTTTGGCTTTTCTTCCTTCTAAAAATAAAAGGTAAAACAAGAGTATTTTGATCATTTGGTGGCTTTTCTCATGATTTAAGATGATACTGGAGGGAAACGGCACCCGGTTTTCCTCTTTGGGGGGAGCCTGAGGCAGCTGCAGACCTTCCTCCCACTCAGCAGCGACTGCCCGGGAAGGCATTTGCATTTCCGGCCGCGGCCAAGGCTCTGACCCATCAGTGTAGTGACTTCTCATCTCTGGTGAACTGAGGGCTGGAGCTGCTTCTCCTGTGGAGGGGCTGGGCTGTGATCTAAGTGGGCTTTTATCCGGAAAGATAGTGTTTGGGAGTTTTTTGTATAAAAATAAGTCTTAAAAGAATGTAATGTCAAAATTGGAACTATTTCTCCCTCAAAATATTCCTTTGATTTTAAAAAGGACTCATTGACATAGTTATGTTCCTATTATTTGGGGGTCTTTGTTCAGTTATTATTTGATATAAACATTCCCATGTTTTGACTGAGTTAATATATTTGTCTTTTAAGGTTATTGTGTAATATTTCATCTCTTTATGAACTATAGTTTGCTTCTTTAGTACAGGATTGTTCCCAACTTGGTTATTAAAATTTTTATCCCTGTCCTAAATATTTTTACTAAGAATTTTATAGATTTTTTTTCTTTTGAGATATTTTCTTAATATATGTTTTTCATTGCTAAGTTGAAATATGGTATTTCTTTAGAAAATAAATGTCTTTCTTGGAGTCATTATGTAGCTTGGACCCTTCCCCTCTATTTTTATTAGCAGAAATTTTTGTTCTAATTTAGCTGGTCCTAAGCACTTATAATTAGGTGTGGTGTTTGTCCCTTTTAGAGACTCGGTCAGTTGTCCCAGTTGTACCATACATTGCCTTTTCTATTACCCTGAAGAGCAAGTGACCCTCAGGATGTCATCTCTCCTCCCAGGTTTTACCTGTCACACATACTTAGCAGGAGAATTCGGCTCCGGTCACAGCATGTGGCTTCCGACAGTTAGCTGCTAGGCAAACACGCGGAGGTGCCAGTGACTCTGAGGGCTGAGGAGAGGCCCTCCTCCAGGCAGAGGCCAAAGAGAGTGAGAAAAGTGTTAAATGCGGTGCCTGCATAAAGCTGATTGAAAAGGAAGGACTGGCAATGGCTACTTCCTGTTGCTGGTGGGGTGGGGTGGAGGGTTGAGCCCCAGGGGGGTGCAGGAAGAGCCCTGAGTGGCTCTTTGATTTCTCAGCCTCTGCCTGGAGACAGGAGGCAGGGCTGGGAGAGACTGGGCTTCACTGGACAATCCTGTTTAATCCATGTAAACCCTTCCCCGTCCCTCAGAATAAGATCTACCTGAACAGTCTGTTTATGACCCAATAATTGGACCTTCTGACCTTTTCTTTTAAAAAAAATTTTCCAGGCAAATGGAGTTAAACAATTGTGAAAATGGATCTTTAAACATGGAAATAAATGATAATGAAGAAATCCTAATGAAAAACAAGAGTTCCTTATATTTGAAATCTGCAGAAATCGATGGCAGCGTATCAAGTGAGGAGAATACAGATGATAATGTAACAGGTAAAAACAAAGTTAAACTCTGAAGCAAACCTCTGAACAACCTTAGGAGTTTGGGGCTTTGATTTGTCGTCCGTCATGGGGCACATAGGAGGAATCGAACTCAAGGCCGCATACTAGGTAGCTGCTGTGGCAGACGTGTTAGCTGGATGACCGATCACTTACCAGTCACCGTCTGACCAGATGCTGAAGAGCAGCAGGAAGAGCGACTCTCCGCTCACTGGTCTTGGCCGAGACGTCCATGGGCGGCAGTGTGCATAGCAGTCTGCACAGACTTTTCAGAGAGCATGTGTGTTTATTTCGCTGGCCTACTCTGAATATCCAAGTCCTTTGAACTTGGACTATAGTATGGGACTTAAGAGTGTGTCAGGTTATGGCCGGTCCGGTTTCCATCCTCCGGGCCTCTGCTGAGGCCTGACCCTGTCAGCGTTCACTGGCCACCACCAGGCCCTCACCCAGCCTTCTCTGTTCATCAGGCCACAGTCCCTTTCAGATTTGCTAATTCCATTGGCTCCAACCACTGAAAACCACAGCTGTAGTAGAGCTTTTAATTGTGTTATCAGTTTTTAATAACTATTTTGAAAATAAAGTGAAAGAATTTTCCTCCTCATTTCCCTTGAAGAAAGAGACCCCATTTTTCCAGACAAGTTGGGGAAAAAGAAGATGTATTTTCATAACTTAATAGAAGGCATGTGACCCACCCGGATCACTGAAGTCTTGTCCCTTGGGTAAATAATAAAGATGGACAATTTCTCTTGAAACAGTATTATTGTTTGACCCGTAATTTTACTTCTAGGAATTTGTCCATAGGGAGTAGTCAGATTTAAGGACAACTCTCTGGACAGGGATGTTCTTTATGACATGACCATCGGTTCTCCTTATTCCCAGTATTTCTGTCCCATAGTCATTGCGGACACTGAATTAGCAGATGCTGAACCGTCGCTCCGAAGGGAAATCCAGGTTAGGTTCCCGCAAAGCCTCTGCCGACTCTTTTTGTCAGCCGATCAATATACAGCCTTGTGAAGGTGTTTCTACTCAGAGACACCTTGTGTAATATGTATCATTGATTCGGTGACATTGAACGCATGACCAGTAGCTCTACAACTCCTGCCTGAACAAAGCTTATCTCACACACAAGTATTTTCTCCGTAAAGTACGTCACAGCCTTCTTATGCTTAGGGACACCAGACAGCACGGCACTCGGGGCCCTTTCAAGCAGTGAAGTCAGTGATAAAACGCACAAAACGTGGCACTAAAAAAACCTTTTTGTGCAGCATGGGAGCTGAAATGAGAAGGCAGAGTGTCACCTTGTTCAACCTTAGCTGGGAACATATATGTCAGGTGACTCATTTTTTCACCACTCTGCACATGTCCACAAATAACCGCAAAAGTGCTGGAAGCATTGGTTTTCAAATGACAGATAAACTTTAGCAAGTAGGCCAACTCACAAAGCCAGAATGCACTAATGATGAGGATTCACTGTTTCTAAAAGTGAAATACTAGAAACCACACAAATGCCCTCCACAAGAACAGGATGCAGCTTCACATGACCATTGGAGTCGTGGTTTGCAGAGCATTTAATGATAATGAAAATATTTTTGGTACATTGGTGAAAACAAGCAAATCTATATATATCTAAACCCAGTTTGTGTGCATATGTATATATGTGTGTGTGTACAGTATTTCACTGATTTCTATTTCTGTGTACTTCTCTGCATTTTAGAAATGTTCAACAATGAATACATATATTTTTTTGTAATAGGTAATGGGTTGGTAATAAGTAGCTTTACTTTGCAGCCCAAGGTGAAGTAATGAAGGGAGAGCGAGAGGAAGACTTGGGAAATCACAATGCAGCACAGCGAGGGTCAAGCCCCCCAGTGAGGTCTCCGGAGTCCTTTTGGGAAGAAGGCCAAGAAGTCATCCCGACTTTCTTCAGTACCATGAACACCAGGTAGGCTGTGCTCTCTGAAACCCCGAAGTTGGAGACCTTCCAGAAGATCCGCCCTGAGGCTCCTTTTAGGGACAGTGTGTTCTGGTGGGATAGAGACGGTGGTGAGCCCAGGTTCCTGCTTTACTGCCTACCTTGTCTGATGCAGTGGGTGAGAAGGCATTGGGCTGCAAGAGTACATTCTGTGAACACAATTTACCTTGTTCTGAAGGATGATCATTGGAAAATGATCTCATGAGACTGTATTATAGTAGAAAAACGGTCGCTGGGGCTTAGGTGTGCCACGTGGTCTGCCCTGAGCAGGGGCAGCTGTTTTCATGACTGCCTCTGAATTGCACAGGGTGCTAATGTTGTGTTCGCTTTTTTTCCTCCTTTTTATTACCATATCACTTAGCTTTAACGACATTGAACTTGTGGAAGACACTGGCATTCCCACAGAAGCATTCTTGGCGTCATGCTATGCAGTGGTTCCAGTGCTGGGTAAGATTGCTGCACGGCCTTAAATTCATCAGCCTCCAGAACCTGTCTCACTGTTGCCGGTGCACACAGAGAGCCTGAACCGTGCGTGTGGCAAGGTGGCCCTCCCTGGCTGCCTCTTCATATCACCAGCCCCATGCAGTGACAGTGCATGACCTGAAGCATTATTGCATATTTTCATTTCATGATTAAATATTGACCTTCAAGTAGTATAACAAACAAAAGGGAATTCCATTTTCTAGAAATCATAATTTAAAATGGAAGTGAAAGTCATTGAGGAACAGACCTTCAAACCCCATTGTACTACGTGAAAAATTTCACCAGTTAAAACTTTTTTTCAAAGGTCAAAAAATATAGAGGTATAAGTTTATTTAAGTTCAAACCACATTTACTTTTTATAGAGTCAGGAGTACTAGAATTGCCAATGTGTTGAAATTTGCTACATGACCCATTTAACTCCACATCTTTTTTTTTAATCGTGGTATAACTGCGTAACTGAAGTGTTGTGATTTAGTGAGTCTTGACAAATGCACCTGCTTATGTAACCTACGTCTCTAACAAGACTGAGAATGTTTTTATCAGCCCAGCATGTTCCCTCTGCCACTCAGTCCCCAGCCTGTCAGCAACCATTTTGCTGCTTTCTGTCACCATGGATTAGTTTTACCTGTTCTAAAATCTCGTATGTATGAAACCATATTATGCACCCTTTTGCAGCTGGCTTTTTCTCTCACTATAATGTTTCTGTCCTTGTTACACGTATCAGCAGATCATTCCTTTTTCATGCTGTGTAGTCTATTAAATGAATTTAAGAATTTGCTTTTTTATTCTTCTGTTGATAGACAATTGAGTAGTTTTTTGTTTGGGGCTGTTATAAATAGAATTGCTCTGAACATTTTTGCGTCTGTGGGTGTACGTTTTCCTTTCTCTTGAGCCAGTACCAGGGCGTGGATTTGATGATTCCTGGGGTTCATATGTTTAGCTTTATAAAGCCTGGTCTCCCAGTCGTGTGCTTCCGACAGCAGTACACGCGTGTCGTGGTTGCTTCACATTCTCCACCAACAGTCGGCGGTGTCAGTGTTTTTGGTTCTGGCCATTCCTGCAAGTGTTTAGTGGGACCTTATGGCTTACATTTGCTTTCCTCTGACAACTAATGATGTTAAGCACTTTTTCCTATAATTATATGAAAATCTCTAATCCATTTTTAAAAGTCAGTTCATTTTCTTTCTATTACTGACTTCTAAGAGTTCTTTCTGCATTCTGAGCGACACTCCAGTGCGGACACACACGTAGCGGGTGTTTTCCCCAGACTGGGATGGCCCGTCTCTCAACGTACCTTTCGAAGAGCACGGTTTTCGATTTCCGTGGAATCCAGTCGGCCCGTTTTCTTTCTTTTCTGTTAGCACTTTCAGTGTCCTAGACAGCTCTGCTCGCCCCCACGCGGTGACGATCCTCTCTCTCGTGCTGTCAGTCACCTTGGAATTAGTTTTTGTACGTGGTGTGAAGTAAGTGGAGATTCTTTTTTAAATTTTTCTTCTTATGTGCGGTTGCTCAGGAACCAGTTGTTGAAACACACTTTTTCCCTTTTACACTACGTTGGCAGCTTTGTTGAAAGTCAGCAGACCTGAGCGTGGGTCTGTTTTGGACTCTCTCTCCCGTCTCAGTGACCTGTTAGTTTTTCCTAAGCCGACACTCTGGGTCCTAATTACTGTGCAATTACAGGAAGGCTTGAGTCAGGTGATGAAAGTCTTCCGGTTTTGTTCTGCTTTTTCAAGGTTGCTTTGCCAGTTCTAGGTCCTCTGCATGTTTAAATAAGTTTTAGCTTTGCAGTTTCTATTAAAAAGCCTGTTGGTGTTTTAAGATTACTCTGAATCTGTAAGCCAAGGAGGAGGGAACTGACTCCTTAAACACTGAGTCTTCCAATCCCTGACCATGGTCTGACGCCCTGTTCATCCAGGTGTTCGTCATTTTCACAACAATGTTTGTAGCATGTTTAAGTGTAGAAGCCTTACACATATCTCATTAGGAATAAATTTTGGAATTTTATGATTGTCGATGCTTCATAAAAACTACTTTAGATTCCAATTGTTCATTGATTGCCTATAGATACCATGGACTTTTGTATGTTGAGTTTTGATGATCATGACTGAGTTAATTTTAAAATATATTTTGTGCATTTATTGAAATAATCATGGTTTTTCCCCTATACTTTGTGTTAATGCAGTGAATTATATCATTTGGGTGAATATAAGTCTAGTATCTTGTTATTTTCCACTGAGTTGGCTAAAAATTCTGCTTAGTTTTTCCCATAAGATAAAAGACACATTTTTCATTTTCACCAATAACTTTATTGATTTGGATATGTTGAGTCTGTTGGCGATCTCCTGCTATTGGCTTCTATCGGGTAGCAGCCAGGGGTGCAACTAAACACCTTCCAATGCATAGACAGCCCCACAGCAGAGAATTCTTTGGCCAAAACATCAGTAGTATCAAGAAACTTCACAGACCACTTTTGACACATTCAATCAGTCACAGCACCTTCTCCATACACTGCACGAATCTTTTTTTTTGTATTTCAATTGTGTTTTTGCCTCTCTTAAAATAATGAAGTGTAACATGCTGTAAATGTTTCATAACTTCTATCTTCAGTATCAAAATGGCTACACAAAAATTCACTAATTTTGATTTTTTTAAATGTACACTGATGACAGCCACCACAATACAATCTAACAGAATTGTTTTGAATGAAGTTAAAGACAGCTAAGCACTACTAGAGCCATCTATTGAAAAAACTAAGTAAACTTTTTGGCCAACCCGATATTTGTCCTTTCTGGCTTTTTTCCTTTTTTATTCTTTTCTTGACTTCTAGCCAATTAATGTTATTTTCTAGTATTCAATTTTATTTCCTGTTTGGCTTTTTACCTACTAATCTTTGTTCCTGCCTTCCTTTTGGATCTCTCAAGTATTTTTTAGAATTCCTTTTTATTTTCTTTTGGCTTTCTAGCTATACCCACTTATGTTACTTGCTTTGTTGTTCTTGTCCACCAGAAATATTCAAACCACATGGATAATTTTTAATTTTATAGCAGACACATAAAATAGTAAAACAAAACATAAAACTATTTTTATAATTTATTTTGTCTAACCCAGAATATTCAAAATACCATCTCAACATGTAATCAATACAAAAGAGTCATTAATGAGGTATTTTGCATTATTTTTCAGCATTAAATCTTCGAACTCCAGTATCTAGCTGTCTTACACTCACAGCACATCTTAGTGTGGCCACAAATGTACCAGCTCTCACATTGGATAGAACAGCCCTAAGGGTTACACTCTGTATTCCGAATGTGTAAGATTATCCTCACCTGCCACCTAGGGCCTTGGTATAGGTACTCACCTCAGGGTCGTATCCTAGAAGCCTTTGAAGCTTATGTTTAGAAAAGGATTTAAAAGCAAAACATAAAAGGGTTTTTGGTTTTTTTGTGTGTGTGTGGTGGAAACCTGTTGAATTTATGGATACTATAAAAAATATTTTCCACTTGAAAAAAAGGGCTTTTTCAAAGCTGTTTTTAATTTTTTCTTTTAGACAAACTTGGCCCTACGGTGTTTGCTCCTGTTAAAATGGATCTCGTTGGAAATATTAAGGTGAATATACTACCTGGTCTCTGGGGAGAGCGTGGACTTGGAGGAAATAGTTGCGTGAAATCTCCTTCAGAAACGAATGACTGTGGAGTTTGGTCTCAGAGTAGGAAGTACAGAGGCATGGTACAGGACAGCTGTGTGGAGGGTCTGGGGGCAGGAAAAACACTCTAAAAAGACTCCTTTAGCCCTGGCTGGTGTAGCTCAGTGGATTGAGCACGGGCCTGTGAACCAGAGGATCGCGGTTTGATTCCCAGTCAGGGCATATGCCTGGGTTGCAGGCAGGTTCCCTGCAGGACAGTTCCCTGCAGGGGATGCACTAGAGGCAACCATACATTGATGTTTCTCTCCCTCTCTCCTTCCCCTCTAAAGATAAATAAATAAAATCTTTAAAAAAATTATAAAAAAATAAAGACTCCTTTAAAACCCTGAGAACTAACCATTTAATTCTAGCTTAAGCCTCATAAGAATTCTCAAACAAAAATAACATTAGCCAGCAACCATAGGGAAGAAAGTAACAGAGGCCACATTTATTTTGATTTCTTAGAGGCCTGTTTGACAGACATAAAAGTCTCAGTTGCTGTCCTGATGTGCTTGGTCGCTTTAGTATTTTGAGCTTAGATTGCCCCCCTGCTCTGCCTGCAGAAAGTGAATCAGAAGTACATCACCAACAAGGAGAAGTTTGCCACCCTCCAAAAGATCGTGCTGCACGAGGTGGAGGCTGACGTGGCCCAGGTCAGGAACTCAGCTACTGAAGCCCTCTTGTGGCTGAAGAGGTGAGGCTGCTGCAGAGGGAGGGGCCGAGGTTAAAGTTCTGCAAAACCATGTTGTCCTGGGAAGGAAACCACTTCTGAGTAAAGGGCCTGACCTCACTGCACAGGCTTTTCTAGAGGGTCTAACAAAAAGAAGACCACCTTTTGGGGGTTGGTTTTTTTGTTGTTTGTTTTGTTTTGCCTTTCTCTTGATGTTGATAAACATTGTTAACAGTGTGCATAAGATTAAAACATAAAGAAGTTGACTGGTTTTGGTTTAAATCAGTGGATCACAAACTTCAGGGATGTCAGAGTCATGTGGAGGGCTTGTTTAAAAACATGGTTGCTCCAGCCCAAACCCAGAATTTCTGATTCAGTACATCTGCAGTGGGCCCAGAATCTTCCGCTTTAGCAAATTCCCAGGTGACGCCGAAGCTGTGGTCCCAGGACACCACATTTTGAAGACCACTGTTGAGCTGTATCAGAGGAGAAGGGCCAGAGCAAGGTCGAGGGCAAGGACAGAACGAAACTCAGACAGCACAGCCAGTGGCTTAGCCTGTCCCCTGCCATGCCTGAGGTATCGCTGGAGAAGCAACTGCAGCCTGATTTTTCTTTCTACCCACTGAATGTAAGTAAATTTTGAAACTAACATTTCTTCCCCTTTTTTTTGTTTTTAGAGGCCTTAAATTTTTGAAAGGATTTTTAACAGAAGTGAGAAATGGAGAAAAGGACATCCAGACAGCCCTGAGTAAGCATTGCGTACGTTTTGACCGATCGATTGAGCAGGACATGGAGTGGAGACCTCTGGAGCGAGAGATAGGACGGAGAGGAAATCCCTGCTTTTCAGGATTTGATTTTGTTTCTTTTTTGTTCATTATTATTAATTGTTTCTTTCTTACATGTTTTGTTTAAAAAGAACCCATGAAGTAGTCACCTGGTAACCTAGAACTAACTTAGAAAAATCAGTGTATCTTAGAGAAGAGCAAAATTAATGGAGAGCCATCTCTTAATAGGAGAACCTAGTATTTCTAACAAGTCTGTCTGTTCTTCCTGAATTAACCTTCAGATGCAGTACAGGCCTCTAAAATATCCAAAGAGAGGCGAGTGTTGGGGGGTGGGGAACCCTGGGAATTTGCTCTGGGGTGGTGGATCTGGTGGTCCTCCCTGGCCCACATGCCCCGTTATTGTAGTGGGAGCTGGGCCTGGGGTGAGGGCCTGGGGTCAGGGCCTTGGTCAAGGGCCAGAACAGGTGCTTAATCCATGTATCTATCAGGTCAGTTTTGATGACATTTAAGAGTTGGAAGCATCCTCATAGTGCTGCTAACAGAGTGGCTGAGCTGTCACGTTTGACCTGTGGGAAATTCTTCCAGCATGGGCCCTGAGGCCTGGGGGCGGGGCGGGGGGAGTGCACATGTGGCTTTGAAGTCCCGTATGTTTACAGTGTAGAGAAGCAGCCCAGGGTCAAGCTGTAAGTAACCACGATGATAACTAGTGAAGTGGATGCACTGGACGCTTCTGTTGGGCAGCGGGGACCAGTGTCCCCTGCAGCGTTCTGTCAGCCTCAGGGTCCTTACCTCCTTCTGCCAGTCTTCCCTCTGGGCCAGGAGGCCTGAGGGATTCTGCTCCGACATGATTTGCCCAGGTTTTTCTGTCTGGAAACTTGCCAATGTGCCATGAAACAGTAAAAGCGGATGTTTCTGGAACACTTTATGAAGAATTTAGACAACTTAACCCTCAGGTCAGTCCACTTGTACAGGATAGGCAACCAGAATTCAGAAAGACAACACATGTGCCAGGACCACAGAGTTTGAAGCAGGGTCACTTTGCGGCTCCTGCCTCCAGAGTCCTCATTTCCCTGACACAGTCTCCCCCATGCTGGGGGGCCGCCTACATTTTGGGGTATCTCACACATCCCTGAATTTCCAGGACAGTCTCGGTTGCGTTCTGCCCTGCGTGTCCTGATTTCGGCACTAGAAGTACGTCCACGTAACTGCTCACGCCCTGACCCGTGTGGTGCAGCTCTGAGGTTTGTGGAGCAGTTCAGACCACGGGCTCTCTGGATCCACCACTGATTCCATAGCGTTGCACCTTAGTTTACTCAACCTTTCTGTTTCTCTGTTTCCTCGCCTGAGGAATGACGATGCCATTTTCCTAACAAAATTGCTGTAAAGATTAAATAGGTTCATGCATGTGAAACAATCAGAAAAGTGGGACCTAACGAGCACTTAATAGCTTCTATTGCCATTCATGTTCTTATCATCATGACGTGTGAGGTTGATGACCAGCCTGCCCGGAAACGAGGTTTCTTGGTCTCAAACCAGAAATAGAAAGTTTATAAAGCTCAGGTGCCAAACCACAAATTCCTCTGCAGAGTGTGGATGTTTCACACTTGGAGAAAGACTCCTCCACCTGCAGGAAATGCAGACTGTTCGATTCGTCACGTGATGCGGATGCTTTGAGTGGCTGTCTGTGAGGGGCAGAGGGGAATGCTAAGCTCCTTCCCCCTCTGCTGGAGCAGGGGAGGGGTTGGGGTGGGGGGAGATAGAGAACCCAGCTGCCTGCGGAACACTTGCACCCAGAGGTGGGGAGAAAGTGGAGGCTACACCCTTTCTGTCCTGTGTTCACCCTTATGTTGGCTCCCTTCTCTCCCCGTACTTTTGACAAAAGTAGACCAGAAATGTTGACTCTGAAGAGAGGAGACTTTGGAGAGCAAATGCTGCTTCAGAACTGAAGTAGTTCACAGCTGACCTCAGCTTTTCCTTTCCCCTTTTCCTCTTCAGCGCTGTCTTCAGTGGGAAGGAAAGGGGGCTATCAGTTTGAGATGTGCATCTGATGTGCAGAATTATTTCAGAGGTTTTCATGACTTAAATCATAACTTCCTTATGGGGCTCTCATTTCCTGCTGCTGGTTAATGTGGAGAGAGGTTTCCCCAACCAACCCACCCTCCCCTCTAAGCGCAGACAGGAGCAGCCCTGTGCAAACACATACAATTTAATGGGAAATGTTTCCACGTTAACTGTTTACAGCCCATAGACTCATTTCTGCTTCGTTCACAGCTTCTTCTTTCTCATTTCAAAATCACAGCCTTTATAAGTCGTACTGATATCTTACCTGAAATGAAGGAGTTTGGGTATGAGAGTGTTATAGGAAAATGAAGCGACCAGACACCAAGGGATTCTGGAGTACGAGGTTTATTTCTTAACGTGCACGGGTCCAGAGGAGTCAGTCTCCAAATTCTGAGCCCCAAACAAAGGATTCTTGGGGGGTTATATAGCTTAGGGGTCTTCCTGTCTACGTGACAAACGTGGGATACAGAAGCAGAATGTGATAATTGTTCTATCAGCAGGGGTGCTAGTTCCAGTCCTACTGACTATCCGGCCACCCGCCCTCTCAGACGGCCCCATCATTCTCTCTAGGGCGCCTGGGGCCTGGGCAAATAAAGGTTAAACAGAGGTTTTTCAAAGTTTCCCATATCAAGAGTAAAAGAAAGTGTATGTCAGTTTATATGCCATATATAGGCAAATCAAATTGTATGTTTTCAAATTCTAAAATTAGATTTGAGTTACTGTAATAACAGCTACTGCTTAGAGGGCATGCATTGTAGGTGAGACAGTGGGTTCCCGATAAACACTTCATTTACTCTTCCCAATGAAAGGAGATTTCCTTCCCTCAGCAAGGAAACTGGGGTGCAGAGAGGGCACGTGGCGCCCCTCGGGTCTCAGATCTAGATTGATGGGTCTCAAAGTGGTCCAAAGACTGCAGCATCTTTATCACCTGGGAACCTACTAGAAATGCAGACTTCCCAGCCCCAGTCGGCGCCCGCCGACTCAGAGTCCAGCAGAGCCCAGCCATCTCTGTGTTAACAGCTCATGGAGGCGACCCTTTCCCTGCTGCAGTGCGACACCCGCTCATGCAGGGCCAGGGTATGGGAGCTCCCTTCAGGCCCCTCAGCATCAGTCAGTTGTGCCTTCCTTTCATGGTGATGAGCTGGTTCTCCAGTGACTGAAAACTTTGCCCAACCTAGAACAGCAAGTCTGGAGCAAATTAAAGATAAGCCTTTAGTTAGTGAATGGCACTCCCAGATTTGAAGACACTGCTTAAGAAAGGTTTGGAGGTAAATGTTCCTGAAACGTGTATAATCTTCGTGGCCTTGAAACTGGGAGATGATGTATAAAAGCCCTGAGTGATGTAACGGAAACCTTGGCACCTGTTCACTCCTCAGAAAGCACACAGACAGTCACTGTTCTGCAGCTCCATGATCTAGAATGAGTCCCTGGCGTCACTGGGGAAGCCTTGGGCTTTATACTGGTGCCCTTCGTACTTGAGCCATCACGTGGCTTCCCCATAATGATGATTGGGGGGGTTGTGGGTGGCCTTATGCCAAGAGCTGCTGTGAACTCCCAGTGTCCTGTGACATTCTCTAGACGTCATTCTCAGAAAGAGTCGGCTCCACAAGGCAGATATGCTTAATGGTCCAGCCTGTAGCTGAGTCCCACTGTCTGCAGATGCCATATCAAAGAGCATCCTTGTAAGAGGAAGGAAGGCAAGTTGCTCTGGCATTTCATGCTCCATTGTACTAAATGTTACGTGCTCTGCACTGTGCCCCCAGCCCGGGATAGCATATTGGCACGTCCCTCCCCCCAGAATGGTCCTGTAAATGTCAGGTAAATATTAACCCCACCAAGAGCTCCAGCGTGCTCCGTTATGTGTTTGATATGAAAGCCTTTCACGAACCCGGAGGGCTATGTGAGAAAGCCCGAACTTGTATTCGGAGATACTTAGTGTCAAATTATAATGAGACTAATTATTCGGAAAACACTGTGGAGTGTGAACTAAGCTGTACTCACTCCGAAACTCCTTGCAGCACTTCAGCGCCAGTTCTGTCCTGACGGTGCTTGAAGTCACCCAAGGCGGCTCCGGCACGAGTCTCACCTCTGCCCCCTGCTGACCAAGTCGACTTTTCTCTGGACAATTCATTCTGCCTGAAGCTTTAGTCACTATAAACAATTCAGAGGGGATTTTTCTAGCAGCTTGGTACTTTTTTTTTTTAAAGATTTTATTTATTTATCTTTAGAGGGGAAGGGAAGGAGAGAGGGAGAGAAATATCAATGTATGGTTGCCTCTCATATGCCCCCCGCTGGGAACCGGCCTGCAACCCAGGCATGTGCCCCGACCAGGAGTCAAACCGGCGACCCCTTGCTTCACAAGCCCACGCTCAATCCACTGAGCCACACCAGCCAGGGCAGCTTGGTACTTTTTAAGTCTTTCAGGCATTTAACAAATATCTACCACTTCATCAAATATGTAAAATAGTTCAGCACAGTGCCCATGTGCCACCCTTTGGCCCCATGGCTCTTCTTATTTGCCAGAGATTTTCATCAGGAATTCACTGTTCGTCATTATATAATGCACATTTTTATACTTTTACTCTATGTTTCTGTGTCCATAAACAGTATAGAATTTCGGTGTAAATTTTAAACTCATATGCATGGTGTCACTTTATACACATTCTTCCTTTCTCACTGTGCATGATGTTTCACTGCTTATTTACTTTCAACCCTTTCCTGGCTCCCAACTCCTCCCTACGAACCGCCTAGCCGCTTGCCCTGCACAGCCCCAGCGATTGCTGCTGTTCCTTGAGCTTGCAAAGGGCCGGGTCTGCCTTTCCTGGCCCTGGCATCTGCCTCCTCAGCTCTCTCTTCAGCCTCAGACCTGCATTACTTCTTTGTCTTCAGTGCAGCCCAAAGTAACTTTACAAATTCTTACCGATTATGGATTTATGCTGGAGAAACACTGTCTCGTATATTCAGTTTCTGGACACAATGTTGTCCACCCACAGTGATGGGAAGGTGGTTCTCATGATCTCTGAAAACCTCACAGCGAATTTTCGAGTTACTTGTAAAGAAGTCGCATTTGTATTGTTTCCATACACAGAATAAAGTCCCAGTTCTTTTAGGAAGTGGCTGGAAAAGGCACGTTGTTCATTTTCATTATTTTGTTTTGTAAAGTAAGGGATAAACTTTAGTTTTTGGCAGAATGGTTTGATGGGATGAGAACGGCCCAAGTTCTGATTTCTCTCAGCTCTGTGACCTTGGGCAAGTCACTGTCCCTCAGGGCTTTCTGTCTCGTCATTTGTAAAGGAAGAGAATTGGGCAGAGGGACTGATTCTCAAGGCTTCCTGCTCAGGAATTTTGACTCAGTCTCTGAGGAAGGGACACATTTCAGAGAACTAGAGAATGGCATCGTTTCTGTCTTTCCGACACCGAAAATACTTGTAGATTATAGGACATGCGTGATGACAATGAATGGCTGTTACTGTGCAGATTAATGTATTTCGTCAGCTAATCTCTGGGTAGCCAAAATAGGGCAGGCTTAGACCTCATTTATTTTAATGCAGCCTTATGTGGCAGGGGTATTTGCAGCCCTAGAAGTTGGCTAAGGACTTCGGGCAAATTTTTTTAATGACTTTAATTTTATTTGTTCGTGTTCAATTGTAGCAGTGGTGTTGCTGGGCCTGAGTCAGATCCCAGCCTGAATTCTCTGTCACCGTCTTCTCCCGTTAGGCCCCCTGGCCCAAGTTTTTCCCAGTGGGACTCTTCTCTGGCAGGGTGCAGACACGATAAGGAATAGCTACCACCCAGGAGGGCCGGGAGTGGGGGCTCAGCCCGTGTGCTCCACAGACACTCCCTCTGCTGCAGACCAGGCTCCCCACCCATGTTGTTGAGACTCCCAGCTCCCTTGCTTTCTGGCTGCCCTATTGGAGGATGTGGAGAAAGATTTCTGGGCTTTTTTGAATGGTTGACTTACATGGCAAAGTGTAGGAAAGGTACGAAGTCTCTGAGGTTGGCACAGCACTGGATCCAGAGCCCTCATAAACAGGCGGTTTGTCCGGCCAGAGGGGCTGAGTGCTGAAGGCTCAGGGACCAGGAGGAGAGGGGTGCCTACATTTGCAGTGCACTGTAAAGATTGGGAGTCTCACCTTCCAACTTCTGTACCATGACCCCAAATGAGACTGGTCGTGACTGTTAGTCAGAGAAAGTAAACTCTCTGTGTAGGCAAAAGACTAGGAGAGTCCACCCCAGAATGCCCACGGCGCTTACCTCTGAGAGACATGGCTACATAGGTTTTTTTAGTTCCCCCTTTTTGTGTTTTCTGTATTTTTGACAATGAGCATGCATTACTTGTGAAATCAGAAAAAAGCAGTAAGGGATATTTTTATAAAACTGCCACCGTGCCTTAGGAGAGAAAGGTTCAGCATCCTTCATGTGGTAGCAAAGGTCCTCAAAATCTGGCTACGCCCGGGAACCACTCCCCACCATGTTATCATTTAAAATGCCCTTATAGCCTGTGATAAATCTAAGCATTCATTAAGTGGTGCTGCGACTGGTACCACCAAGACTTCTGGTGCACGTGATCTCATGTGTAGACAGACATCTTTCGTCAGCTCCTGGCACCAGCAGGACCGCGCTCCTGCCTGCATTAGAAAGGACGTGACACAACACGCATGTCAAATTCTGGTGAAATCGTCCCTCACGGGGCTTTTCTTCTTTTTCAAGATAACGCCTACGGGAAGACCTTACGGCAGCACCACGGCTGGGTCGTCCGAGGGGTTTTTGCGGTAAGTAACCCTTCGGCCTCCTGATATCCTGAGGGTCACAGCTGAGCTGGTTTTGTTTGTTTGGGGTGCGTGGTGTCTCTGTGCTTTGTTTCCTAGAACAAGAAAAACGCGTTGCTTATTTAAGTCCATTGGTCTCTGTTGCATGGAAATGTTGGCAATAAAAAGTGTCTAGAGCAGAAAAGACTGTCACAGAGTCTGCTTTGCCCCATCCAATTCCAGCAGCCTGTGGAGATTTGCCTCCAAAGTGGTTGCCTTTCAAGCCATAAGGTAGTGCAGAGTGTTGGCCCAGGGGCAGTGCGAGAGAACCACTGGGTCCTGTTGCCCACCACCAGAAAGATCTGTGGTTGTCAGGGTTTGGTAAGAAGGAAAGGAATTATTTATTTAAAAGTTTTACAGGTTCCGAATAATAGCAGGATGTCACCATTAAATCCCACTCCCTTTTAAACATCCATGCACACACACACAGTCCTGCCTCCCTTTTGCTAAATCAAGCTGGTTTCAGAACATGCCAACCAGACACCGTCTCTGAAGGGAAGAAGTCCGCAGCTTAACATTGCTGATCGTAGCTCAGCACTAGAGGCACCCCCCGTTAACCCGGGCTTGGCTGGGGGGCCCCACAGTCTCCATCTCCACCAGCTGTGCAGCCCTGTTCTCCAGCTGTTAATCCAAAACCACATGGCACCTTCTCATGGCAGGAGGCAGGGGTTCTACACCCTTTCAGCCCACATGGCCAAGGAGCCACTGTCGCTGCCCTTAGTTTGAATATTCACCCTGAGCTCCCACTTCCCACGGGGCTTTCTGCTTCCTGGGCAGGCGTGACAAGCTTCCCCAGCGCCCCAGCAGGGTTAGTCAGAGGGGTTTCCTATATTCCCGGGGACCAGGAGTTCTTAGCCTACACCCCGTTCTGTACCCCGGTCCACACCTGTTACAGGAGGCAGGAGCCACCCAGTGCTCACCGCTGAGGGGAAGAAGCCGGTGGTACCCGCAAGCTCACAGCCCCTCCGCTGCCCGTTGTGTTCGGTTTTGTCCATTCTAAAATCTTGATTTTTTTTTTCCCTTAGTTGAATTTCATTGAGTACTAACTGAATCGGGTATGTCAGCAGCTAGGGCCAGAATTCTCTTCTTACCCAATTATTTCCACCGTGAAGGTGTTTCTATTCGTGCGTTCTACTCCTGTGTGCACCACTCCTTCCTTCCCAGCACATCGGCCTAGGATGGACACACACCTGGGAGACAGAGCCCTCGGGCAGGGCCCTTAGCCTGTCGTGTGGAGCAGCAGGAGCAGCTGGCCCTGACTGTTGGCAGCAGCCTGCGTGCCGTGGCTCCCCAACCCGGGAGAGGGTGGTCTCCGTCCGACGCAGCCAGGAAGGGGCTCAGGTGGGGGGGTGCTGGGAAACCTCGCAGAGCAGGAGGGTCCTTTGGAAAATGGGGGATAAAAATAGCCTTGCAGGTGGTGCTTTTTACCGATTAAAAGGATAGGAGACGTTATTTGCCTACTTTAGGAACTGTTAGATTATGATTTATTAGAAGGCAAATAAAGAAAATGGAAAGGATTTACAGTGGAAGAGACCAAATTTCAATGAAAATGAAGTTCTTTTTGAAAGCACTCCTATTCATCTCCTGTTTATTTGGAGATGAATAGGAGCCAGACCAGTGGAGCTACAAACTGCTCCCGCTTACCTTCCGTGCACATTCAGTGGTCACAGTAATAGCCACCGTGAGCTCTCAGACACCTGTCGTGTGCTGGGCATTGTGCCAGGTGCTTCATGCTTATCATTTCCGGTAACCCTTAGGATTACCTCCCACTGTTTCATAAATTCAGAACTGCTAATCCTAGTCCCAGAGTCCCACAGTGAGGCTATGGCAGAGCCCAGGTCCAAACCCAGGTGGTGTCTGCAGACGCCCATGCTCATTCCCGGTGTCACAGCCTCCGCAGTGGAGACAGAGTGATGGAGACGGCTGGTGAATGACTAGAGAGCAGACGCCGCTCGCTGAGATGACAAGGCATGAGAATATCAAGTTGCCCCGTGTGCAAGAAACACAAGTGTGTTATTTTTTCAGTGTGAAGGTAAAGTTACATCCTGAAATATTAATGATCAAAGAGATATTGTCAATACGAATGCAGCTATAGCAGAAAATTTATCATAAGCATGAGTCTTTAGGGCATTTTCCCCCATATGAAGGAATTTAGACACGTCATAGTGCCTTGTAGAAATTATAGAAGAATAGAAAGGAAAAAAATTAAAAATTGTCCATATCCTTTTCACTCTATAATAACCACTATTAACATTTTTACATTTACCTTCTTCGCTTTTTGTGTATTTGACATATTTAAATATTCCATTTAATTTTGTGTTATCTAAATATATATCTACTTACAAGTTTTTATTTTATATCTACATATTTATATTATATACATAGTTATTTTCACTTTGTATCTTTGTACATAGATATACATTTTTTGATGTGTAGCTTGTAGTATAATTTTGTATTCTTCCCCCGCACTTAATAGATTCTGTTGTGACCTTTTTTAAATGCCATGAGCCCATTGGAGTAATTGAAAACCATTACTTTTAGTGATTGCACAATATTTCCCTACTGTAGTGATGCCATAATTTATTTGCTCAGCCCTCTGTGTTGGAAATTTAAGCTGTTTCTAAGTTTGTTATTACAGATAAAACAGCACATGTTCATATGCATTTTTGACTAAAAAAAACCTCTTATTTTTGTCATAGGTTCCTAGGAATAGAATTGCTATGTCTAATGGTAACAATTACAACCAGAACTTAGAATTTGAGCATTTACTATGCACTGGACATTGTTTTAAGATCTTTATGTATGTAAAGTTATTAATTCACCCCTGAGGCAGGCTCTTATTTTCCCTACTTATAGAGGAAAAAAACTGAGAGCCAAAGAGGTGAGGTAATATACCCAAAGTTACAGAGCAAGAACATTTTGAAGGCTCTCGATATTATTGCCAATAATTTTTTTAAGTTGCTGGTTTTTAAGATTCTCTCTCTGCTCCCTACTCCCCAGACTTACCCCAAAGAGTCCGCCACTTCCAAGTATAGTGGCCCTTCCTTTTAAAACCTCCGCAATCCCGAGCATGTTTGTTGTTCGTTGTGGCTTTATCACCTTCAGTTATTAAAGGTCAACCTCTTGCTGGAGATTAGGGTTCAGCTCTCCAAGAGCTTGTGTCTTACCTCCCCTGCCTCCGCCTCCCGATACCGTGATTCACAAGTTCTCACGGAGCCCAGATTCCATGGGGCTCTCCTGTGGTGGTTCTTGCTTACACGGTTTGTGTTCTCTCCTGCACCATCAGGTCTCTCAAATCACCATCACTCTGAACTCACAAGTAGAGAATTACATTTTTCTTTTCTTGGACACTTCCATTTCAGAACTTCCTAAACTCATATTCCAATGTGAGGTCGTTACTCAGGCCGGTTGTGCTGCTGTGTCCCCAGGATTTTCCTCACAGGTGTCTCTCTATATGGAACCCCCCTCACCCGAATTTCACCCCCAGGTCCTGTGTCTTCGTCCCATCCGTCCATTCTCCAGCAGCTCCCTCAGGGAGGACACAGGACACTAAAGTTTTGAGTGCCTGCATGCCAAACATGTCTTCATTCTGCCCTTTTTTTCCCTAGACCGAGGCTTTGGTTGGCATAGAATTGTAGGTTAATGATATTTTTTTCTCAGAATTTTGCAGGCATACGTCTGTTGTCCTCCATCTTCCCTCTATGATAAACGTTAATGTCATTCTAATTCCTGCTCCATTTTTTATTAACTGTTCCCCATCTTCTTCTGGATGCTTTTAGGATCATTTCTTTATCCCCACATTCTGAAATTTTATGACCTTCCCCTTTTGGTCTTTGGCATTCATTATGCTGAGCACTGGGGTGGGTCTCTAAATCTGGACTTTCATATCCTTCAGTTCTGGGAGATTTTCTCACATCCTACCTTTGGATAATGGCCTTTTCTTCGTTCTCTGTTCTCTCCCTTGTATTCCTGCCATTGTTTGAGTATTTACTACGTAACTGGCAGTGGGTTAAGTACGTCCTATGAGCACATATCCCATTAGCCCTTCGAATAAAGGAAGTGGTATCTGTTCTCTGCCTCCAACAAGGAAACTGAGGTTCTAGGAGGTAAGCACGTTGCCTAAATTCCTCAAGGATTCGAGAGTCGAGCCCAGGTCTTCTTGACCCGCCCTGTGCTGGGACAGGTGCAGGGTAACTCCAGCCCTTCTCCAGTTGCAAAAAGTATCCAGGGTGGCAGAGGGAGGGGCAGTTGATTATCAAAGGCTTTCAAATTCAAAGTATAAGGACACTCAGAAAGAAACTGTAGAATGATAATTCAGGATTCTACAAAGTCTCCCTAGATCTCAGCAGAGCCGACCCAGTGGACGGCAGGAGGACAGTTTAAGTGAGCTTAGGGAGCAGGTGGTCTGCAAAGAAAGGGAGTTCTAAAAGGCCCCGGAAGGCTCCTGTCAGGGCAGCGATGGGGCGCGAGGGTGCGGGTGACAAAGCACAGAGGCAGTCCCCCACTCAGGTCCTGGCCCGGTCCCTCCTTAGCGATATGACCTTCATCTGTGGAACAGGGACAGAAACTGCAGGGTTCCTACAGATGTGCATTAAAGCACAAAGCAGACAACAAGCGTGAGTGCCCTTCTTTTTTAGAAAACAGTCAATCAAGAGTGCAGAGGAAACAGTATTCCAGTGGGGGGACTAGGAGACACACAAAGAAACGCAGGTGTGAAGGTGAGGCCACGGTTCAAGGGCAACACCCTGGATCACACTGTGAGCGAGGAAGCTTTTCTTACACTTGTTCTCTCGGTGTTCCCTGACTTAAAGGCGTCATGCATTCTCAAGGTGGCCCAAGCACACACGTGCTTTTTCGAACCTTAACATTATTTGATTTGGTGCTTCAAAAAAATTTTAGAGCCCTGGCTGGTATGGCTCAGTGGATTTAGCGCAGGCCTGTGAGGCAAAGGGTCGCCAGTTTGATTCCCAGTCAGGGCGCATGCTTGGGTTGCAGGCCAGGTCCCCAGTGAGGGACACGTGAGAGGCAGCCACACATTGATGCTTCTCTCCCACTCTTTCTCCTTCCCTTCCCCTCTCTCTAAAAAGAAATGAATAAAATATTTTAAAAAAATTTTAGAGTTCATGAATTTGAAGGGTATATTCCTATTTTCTTTTGCTCTGCTCAGCTGTGTGTGTTTGTGTGTGTGTTTGTGCATGCACTCGCACGTAAGAGGAAAGCACACGCGAGAGGCATGCTGCACGCTCTCACCGGCCGTTCTTTTGCAGCTAGCCTTGAGGGCAGCACCATCCTATGAAGATTTTGTGGCTGCATTAAGCATCAAGGAGGGCGACCACCAGAAAGCTGCTTTCAGTACCGGGATGCAGAGGGACCTCAGCCTCTACCTCCCTGCCATGGAGAAGCAGCTGGCAATCCTGGACACTTTGTACGAGGTGCACGGACTGGAGAGTGACGAGGTGGTATGACGTCCATGGGTCTAGCGCCACCCGCCTTCAGGGAACCGAGCTGGCCGCCGCGTGTTGTGGCCCTGCTTCTTCTCTGGCAGCAGCTTCAGCTCTCTCCTCCCTTACCTGGGGGCATGGAGAGGAGCAGGCAAAGCCTAGTGCTTTTATGTATAATTTTTAAAATGCTTGTATGTGTTTTGTGTGTTTAAAAATCAAGGTGCTATATATTTCAGTTCAATGGGCCTCCTGGAAACCAAATCATAGCTGTTGTATTGACTTGCACAGCAAGTTGTAAGAGCAGATTTCACAAATGAATTTGTTGCTACTGTTTTCTTTAGTTTATGGCTTTGGGTTTTAACAGGCCACCCACACCCAAGCTGCAGGTGAGCAAATTCTATACCAAGGACGACAACTCATAGCCAGTGTTTCCGTCGCCTCAGAATTAGACTAAAGATCTGGAGGGACCGGAGCCCCTCTGTGGAAGCTGTTGAAGCGCCAAGCTTGCCAGCCCTAGATGTTCTTCGGAGAACCTCCTCCTCCGTGGCTCCGTGGGCGGTGTGAGCCTGCGGGCCAGGTGCCCCAGCGCCCACTCTTGTTCCCGTGCTTTCCCATGCATATCGCAAGGGGGCTGCCCAGCAAAGCCGTGACGTTCAGGGATTGTTACCTGATTTCAAAAGTGAGGGATTTATGTGCTCACCATGACACAGCCTCCAAATAGAGGAACAAACAGGTGGGATCCAGACCACCTGCATCAAAGCACATGGAGGGCTTGTTCAGAAAGCAGATTCCCAGGCCTCGCTGTGACCTGCAGAACCAGATCACGTGGGTGGGACTCAGGACTCTGCGTTTGAATACCTGTCAAGTGATTCTTGTGCACAGAGACTTGAAGAATTATGAGATTAAATTCTAGTTTACAGAATACCCAGTCTTCTGCATGAACTCAATGATGTGTCCTTTTTTTTTCAAAGAGGAAGAGGCGGTTGTGGATGCAAACCAGTTAAAGGGACAAGGAGAAGGACCAGGTTTACTTCGGCAGCCTTCCTCATGGAGCCAGCATGGCGCCCGGCCAGGCCGCAGGCAGGCACCGTGGTCCCCGTGTGCTCTCAGGGCAGTGTGGTTTAGTCGCCAGCTGCGCACAGCAAGCTCGATGCCCCTGCTGGCCTATCTCACGAGCCTGGAACTGCTGGTCAGTCTCAGGAACTTGGGGACTGGGCCACGGTTGACTGCTGGGATGTCAGCCTGTCATAAAACCTTGTGTAGGCATTTGCCTGGAGAGAGTGACATGGGGACTGTGGCCTGGTCTCAGGAGGCCACACCACCAAGAAGGCATGGGAGAGGGGCCACAGGCCTTCCCCGTGAGAGGCCGCTTCCTCCAAGTGGCTGGAAGGGCATTTCCACCGTGAGGGGTTCCCCAGGGTGGAAGGTGAGCTCCTTTGCGGAGCACAGGTGAGTGCTGCCCGAGCAGCCCCAGAGGATGCTGGTCCGAGGGCAGAGGGAGCCCCTCCTCAGACAGAGGATAATGTCGGGAGCAGTGCTGGTTTTGCCTTCCATCTGTCTTTAGACAACGGGGCATTCATTTAGCTCAAGTTAATGAAGCAGCTACTCGGCTCACATAGGGACTTTCGGAAAAGGCTGAACTTAGAAAAGCAACATTAAATGTTTTAAGGCTGGGGAGAAAAACGATGCTAAAACGACACTGATTATTTTGTATTTTAGCACTTCCTGTTGGCATCTCCAAAGGGGTGTGTGCGTGCTCGTTCCCTTCCCATGAGTAATCGGTGTGGCTCTCCCTCTCTGGCTGGTGTGCAAACGAGGGCGGCCCAAGGGGCTCCTGCCCTTGACGGTAGCTTGAAAAAATAGCCCACCTTTGCCTGTGCCTTGAGTGAAGATGCATCAGACATCCTGTCACTGGGAGGGGACGCTACCAGGAAATGTGAGTGTTGCAAAGCAGGACCCTCTCATCACCTGCTGGTGCTCCCTGTCACCTCGGGTAAACTTGTATGGGGAGGGAGTGGGCCCCCAGAATGTATCTCATTTGCCCTTGAAGCTGTGAACACACGCAAAGAAAGCTGCTCAGCGTGGCCATTTCACATTTGTGTAGGTGTGGCTGGTGTAGCCAACCCAGGTGTCTGGGGAAGAAGGGTTTGATATTATCTGGGACCATTGGGAACCCACATTAGGATGATTTGAGTAAGTTCCATTTTCTCCTCACCCTTTTTCCAACACTACAGAAAGGGGCAATGTGTTTTTGATAGGTGTTTTCCTTCCTGGAACGTATTAAGTTTGCCTCAGATGTGTACAGCCCTGAGAGCCCTTCAATAAAGAGAACTAGAAATTGAACCTGTACTAGACGGTAAGGTCAGCCTGACCTGGAGCTGGGCACAGGCGGAGCCTCTTCCTGGATCCACAGTGTTTGCTTCTCCGTTTTAGTCCACGTCCTAATTCGTGCTAAATTGCAGTCAGTGTCTCAGAAGGGGACAGAGAGAAAGAATAGTAAGGCTTTCTTTCCATAACCCGCCAAGATGTGCAGATGCCTGGGCTCCCGCCGGCCCAGACAGCGAGTGAAGAAGAGGTAGGCGTCTTGCTGTCCTTGCTCAAACGTCTCAGGGTCCCTTTCCAGGAGCAGCCTTTAGGGAGGTCCCAAGGGAAAAGGTAATGTGACTTCCAGGTATCAGGAGAGGCGGTCAGCAGGTTTGGCTGACCCCTCCAGGGTACTTCCTGCACACAGTGGCCTCGTGTTCACACCCCTCCCCAAGGAGGAGCCAGGCGTGGTGCTGGGGGGAGGGTGGGGACTGTGTGTCAGTCCTGTCAGCGGCCACGGCCACTGTTTTGTCCTTTGAAAGCAAGCTTGAGTGCTTATCGCTAATCCTGCTGAAAAATGTCACGTTGGAGGGATGCCCTTTTGCTGGGCATGGAGATGATATTCAGCTCTGCAGCGAGTCCTAGAGGTGGGGCTCGGAACTGCAAGCAGGTCACGTCAGGGGCTGGCTGGGAAAGGCTGTGTTCATCAGACTGTGAAAGTTTGCAGTCTTCTTTCTTAATTATTCATTGTGTTTACATGTATGTCCAGAAACTTAATGCTCTCACTTTTATATTTTTGGGAAAGTTTTTTTTTTTATTAAAAAAAATGTGATGGGGACCAATAAATAAAGCACATTTTTCTTTATTCAATTTGAAGTAAGCAAGACCCCTTACTTCAGCTCTTCCAGGCGGATCTTATTAAGGAAATTTAATCTGATCGCGGGGCCCATACATTCCAGGCAGGAGAGAGCGCCAGAGGGTCTGGAGCGGTTACGATGATGTGAGACGTTTGGAAACGTTCTGAAGGAGCACTACGTGTGTGTTTGTTCTCCTGAACTACTGTATCATGTCCTACGAGAGGTCGGTGACACGGTGGTGGGTTTCGGAATCCCTGGCCGAAGTCCGTTGCTTCTGATTTTGGTCAGAGGTTTTACAACTCTCCGGCTCCCCCACCCTCGTGGTTCATTTCCTTTCAAGGCGAATGTCAACCATTTTTATACTTTCAGATTTAGTGTTTATAAGCAAAGTACGTTTTAAGCCATGGTTCTGAGAGCTGATCTGACGTGCGTGGTCAGAGAGCACTGGCCTTCGGCCGCTTGGTGACCCACACAGCCCGCCCGCGGACGTCAGTGTGTGGTACACCTGTGTCCTGGGTCGCGCATGTAGGGCTCATTATTGAGAGAGATGTCCTGCTTCCGGGCGTCCGTTTGTAACCTGCAGTTGCTTACTCAGGGTTTTCACAGTAATGACAAAGTAGTCACTAGCTGTCTGATGGGATTTTAAGACTGCTTAGCTAGCACAAGGTCGTTAGGGGTCCTAACAACTGCCGCATGCACACACTGCTTGCCAGCCCGTCTGTGAGCGTTCCATGCGTCCTGCTGCAGTCCGTCCTTGCTCCTGTGCAGTGGCCGTCTGCGTGGCATCTCCGAGCACCTCTGCGCCGGGGCCCAGTTACTGACGGGACCGCTGTTGCATGCATTGGTCTCTGTTGTGCGCTGTCTGTATACAGCCTTTCATGAAAAGGGGAACACACCCCACTCACTGCTCAGTAATGCAAATGTCCCAAAATTCTCCCAAAGGTTACCCTTTGAGTCACTTCTCTTTCAGAGTGAACACCTGTTTTCAGGTGACTCTTGTGAGAACATAAGAAAGAGATCCTGCTTGTTTTAAGCACATCCTCTCTGTCTGTTACCTGTATTTTAAGGTGTGGTTGGTATTTTCTCCCTGGGCTTTATAAACAGGTACCACCCTGAGATGGGGGTCTCCCTGTCAAAGCTGGTCTCATCCGCACAGACGCCTGTATGCCTGTCTCTTTGTGGGTGTACGTGGAGGTGACAAGGAGGGGGAGCTAGAAGTAATTTCTGTTGCTTCCCAGAAGGCTCATGAACCAGCCTCACGGTGTGTTTGATCTGTGAGTCCCCCGTGTTGTGACGACTTCACTAGAACGTCAGTAAACAGCCCAACTACCTCATGTGAAATTGGCTGTGGACAATCTGTGTCGGACGGGTCGTGTGTTCAGGCCGATTTGATCTGATTAAGAGATTGAACAAAATGATGTCTCTACACAGAAGAAACATGTTAGACCATATGCCAAAGGCTACAATGTACATAGGTTTCCTAGGATTAATTTTTTAAATCAATGCCGAATCCCACCCCCAGTATTCTTATCTCGAATGTCGGTGGTCTTCAGATCCGTGCACTTTCAATGTCTGTCTCAGGCCACCTTCCTTACCTGTGCTTGTCCCTCCACATCATAATGACAGTAGAAAGCAAGTGTCAAGTGGTTTGTTGATTTCTTAGTTCTAATGGACCTTTTCTTAGAACATAATGTGTTGGAGCCTTTTAGGACCAATCAGTGGATGAAGATGTCATGTTCAATGTTTCGTGTAAAACTCTGTCCAAGTTCTCATTCTGTAACTTGTGGGGAGGGGGAATGAGCACAGGGTTTACTTTTTTTGCAAAAATGTTTGAAAACATCTGTCAGATTTTATATTCATTAGTTATAATAAACTTATTTTTAAAGTATTTTATCAAGTGCTTCTCTCAAAGATTTCTGTGTAGTTTGTTAAGATAAATAAGTCCACATCACAGAACTTCCCTCTCTTAAAGCCTAAAAAAATGAACTATCAAAATATATTAAAACTTAAGAAGTGGAAACCCCTTAAATTCACCAGCAGTGAACAAGGGAAGGAGCCCCTGTCACTGTGCTTTAAACTTCAAAAGATGATCACCAAAGAAAAAGATCATATTCGCCAGCAAGAACGAAGAGAGCTCCTAATCCTGCCTTGCAGTGGGGGGATTTGCAAAATCCAGAATTCTCGTTAAAACCTCAGAGTTAGGCAAGACGAATAGCCTCATCTCTTCCTTCCTCTGAGAGGGGCTGGTATATGTGTGTATCGTGGGGGCACGTCGGAGGAGGGAGTGTTGCTGGGGAGAGATGGGTGAAACAGGGCAAGAAAACCCTGCTCACCCCTGAATTAAGAGACACACTTAGATCCCAAGAATCTTCTCCCTGTGATGCGGTAGATATGTCTCCTCTCCATTTGGAGTTCACTGTGCTGCAGGACTCGATGCAAATATCAGAAGACAGAGCAACGTCCAGTCCCTGGAACAGAAGCCTGTGGACATGGCTCCTCCTCCCTCCCCACACAGGGCTCGGGCTTGGCTGGTGTACATGGCTAAGGCTGCGCTTGCAATTAAAATAAATGGTCTGAACAGGGCCAAGGTCTTAAACATACACAAGTTTAAATAAAATGACCTGGCAGCTACATAAATACGCTACAGCCAGCAGAGGGAATGGAGTGATGAACAGATGAACCAATGGGGAAGAGGAGCTAATCTAAGAAGCAAAATTCCTAAGGTTGTATTGTGCTCTCAAAGAACTTGAAAAGAGCATGAGTTCAGTAAAATGAGCGCTCATAATATGAGCTGATAAAGAGGCAGTTAATGGAAACAACGTGATCTAAATAACCCTATTATAGAACAAATAAATGAATTAGTAATAGCGAGACACACGGTCAAATGCAGAATTGATAACAAAAGAGACTTGAGTGACTGCAGTGGGTAAAGAATTTTTTCAAGATTAAATTCATTCTTGAGAGGGTAATTATAGGAAGACAAAGATATTCTAACATACGTGTAATTGGTGACAAAGAAAGGAACTAAAGAAGTAGTGAAAGATAAAATGCAGAAAAGTTTCCTGAAATTAACCTTCGATTGAAAAATTGCCCCGTGTTCTAGGAAATCTGACAGGAAGCACTTGAGCCTATCCTGACACCAAAACATATCCTGATAAATTGAATGGACTAAAAGGATGAAAAGAGAATTCTTCTCTGTTCGGGCAGGAAATGCAGTCACCAAAGACTCTGCAACTTCCTTTCCACAAGATCTAATGACAGGGAACAATCGAGAAATGGATCTAACGTTCTGAGTAGGAAAAAAGTGACTTAAGTATATTATTGGCAGCCATGTTGTCCAATACAATGTCTGGTACACTTAAGCACCCATGAGCCCTTCTTAAGGGAACCATTTGATAGGAGAGATGACTGAAATAACTGGATAATGGAGAAGCCCATAGTAGAAGAACTGGTGGGAGCATTGAATTTACAAAGAACCAAGCCTGAACTGGGAATTAGAGTCATAGGTGCATGTTACAAATAGTATAAACCTTACTAATCCATGTAAATTGGAAGTCAGGAAGCAGGGGTTATAAGAGTGTCAATCTCACTTTTATAGCAGAATCAATATTACTGAGGAAAAAAAACATAATAACTAACCTTCATTTTTTGATAATAAAAAAAACCTTGAATACATTTTTAAATAAATACCTGTTGGGATAAAGAAATATTTTAAGTGTAGTAATTGTTTGAGTTTATTTTCTTAAATACAAGCAAAATAACATAAATAAAAATAAATATGTCTCTGTTTATAAAAATATCCTCTACCCTTTTATCACCAAAGAAAAGAAATCAGGAATGTTGAAAAAATCAGTAATGATATTCACCTAAAGTTAGTGATGGTAATTTTTAAGTGGATACCGATTTTGTTTTACTCTTCTCTTTGTACTTAAAGATAACCATGCTATCTTTTTATTTTAAAACAGGGTAGGGCAGGGCAGGTATTCAAAAACCGAAGTTAAAAAGCATCGTATAGCATTGGTGGCTCACCAGCATATGCTGCTACTTGTGATGACATTTGCTTTCCATTAAATTTTTAACTTAAATCTCACCACACTTCCCTTTTTCCCCCACTGGTTACTTTTCACTCATAAGCTTCTGTTCCTTTACCCACACGAAAATATTACTCAACCCATAGTATACACTCTGTAAGTGTTGCCCTCATTTATGGCTAACGGGAAAAACTGAACACCGGTGTGAGACCTAGTGACTTGCCCAGCACATCTGAAATGAATGGAAAGGTGGAAAAAGAAGCTCTCAGGACTGGCTGGCTGACAGTCATCATAGCAGAGGAAGCCAGAAAGCCTCAGCAACAAGGGAATGTTGCCCATGAATTGGCTACACTCCATCTGAGGAGCTGAAAGGTTCCTTTCTCTGTGCTTCTGTGAGTTTAGAAATGAGATGTCAGCCCCTTCTCTACCCCAGCGAAATTGCTGGGCAATAGAGCTGTAGTTCAGTTCGAGCTTACTCTGATCCAACCCAGCTGCAGCCACGGCAGATGAGAGAATGCAGCACTCAATGTATTCAGTGAGGGTGTGTCATAAGGACATTCAGGATTACATTTGTGGAAACCTGTGGAAGCCCAACATTCTACTGGGAAGTGTGTGGGAGCAACTCGGGAGTCTCTCTCTCCCTCTCTGTCACACAGAGAGTTCTGCGGAATCCCACATCCTTGACTTCATTAGTATAAAAAGAGAATCACTGGAGGACAGAGCTGAAAGACTCCATCTGCCATAGAGGTCATAATAGCTGTGGCCAAACCTCAGATCAGGAACTGTGCCTCACGTGCCTGGCACAGTGTCGAGCAGAAGGCAAGAAGGCCAAGAATGGTGGTGGCCGTCACATTAATAGTTGTCACTGTTATAAAGGGAAGTGTAGCTCTGTCATGCCTGGACTTTCCCTGATGAGTATGCTTTTTCTTTGGGCCACTTGCCCCTGACCTCACAGAGGATTCACTGTGGCCCCTAGAACAGGCTCCCCCCTCTGCACGGAATGTCTTGCCACCTTCAAGGAGAAGACCTTCACTGAACCATGTTTCCGGTCAATGGAGACACTCCCTCTCCTTGCCTCAGCCCTAGAGCCACCTGGGGTACTTCACAACTGTCTCCCAGCCAGAAGATTCCAGGAGAATGGCTAGCGGGGCATTAGGGTGGACCTGACACCTTCCAGAGGAGCCCTCCCGCCCCACTTCAGAACACAGCTAATATACTTTTCTTCCCTGATCTCCTCTGCCCTTATTCTGCACATTCATTTCTCAGAGTGACTCTCCCTTTGCCACTCGGAGTTCTGGTTGGGCTGCCTCTGACTGCAGCAATGGGTGTGTGCTCTCGAACAGGTGCCGCCTGGGCCTTCCCCAGAACTGTGTATTGGGACACTGGGAGAGAGTGTCACTGTTGTGAACTGCGTGTTTGTGAACACCCAAAGTGCATGTGTGGAAATTCCAACCCCCAGTGGAATATTAGTAGGTGGGCATCTTTTGAAGATAATTAGGGATAGATTAGGCCATGTCCGAGACAAGATAGAGAAGTCTTATCTAGAGAAATCATTCTAAAAGAATGAAGATAATTAGGGATAGATTAGACCATGTCTGAGACAAGACAGAGAAGTCTTAAAATCATTCTAAAAGATCTATGTTCATGAATTAGCAGGTCTGACAGTGATAGGATGTCTCCCACATGTGTTTTGTTTTTTTATGTTCATACCACCAGGCAACTCTCCAGTGCCAAATGGAGTCCTAGAGTCAACTCAGTTAAATACTGACGCTGTTACTTAGAGAAGGTGGCAGATTCCACAGGCTCAGGGCTCAGTCCTACACAGACAGGATTGATGAAATCATCGGTCATGGTGATTGAACTCAATCACCAATTCACCTCCATCCTGGAGATTAGGGGTTGGGACTAAAATTTCCCCCTCTAACACATGGCTGTGTCCCTAGCAACCAGCCACCATCCTTAGATGCTTTCCAAAATCCACTTCATGAACAAGCTCAGGTGTGGTTGAAAGAGGTTTATTATGAATATCAAGATGCCTTTATTGCTCTTTTAAGTTAGGAAATTCCAAGGACTTTAGGGTCTCTGTGCCAGAAACAGAAGACCAAATCAATAGTCATTATAAGCAATAATATTACAATGTCAGTTCTTCCAAGTCTAATCTAAAGATTCAGTGCAATACCATTAAAAATAACTAGCACATAGATATGACACACAAGAATGAGCAACAAAAGAAAAAGTAGATAAATTAGACTTCATCAATATTAAAAACTTGTGCATCAAAGACACTGTCCAAAAAGTGAATATATAAACTACAGCATGGGAGAAAATATTTGCAAACCATGTATCTAATAAGGGACTTGTATTCAGAATATACAAAGGACACTTATAACTCAACAACAAAAAGACAAACAACCCGATTTAAAAATGGGCAAAAGAGAAATAGACATTTCTCCAAAAAAGTATATAAATGGCCAGCAAACACACAAAAAGATAGCAAACATCATTAGTCCTTGGAGAAATGCAAGTCAAAGCAACAATGAGATACCACTTCACACTTGGTAGGATGACTAAGGAAAAACAGAAAGAATAGCAAGTGTTGGTGAGAATGGGGAGAAATCAGAACCCTTGTGCATTGCTGGTGGGGGGAGAGATGGGATATACAATGGAGCAGCTAAGTGAAAACAGTTTAGCAGTTTCTTGAAAAGTTAAACAGAATTGCTGTATGTCCCAGCAGTTCCACTCCCAGGCATGGACCCAGAGGAATCAAAAGCAGGGACTTGAACAGATGCTTGTGTGCCAACATTCATTGCAGCATAGTTCATAATAGCCGAGAGGTGGCGACAACTCAAGT